CTGTCGATGCAGTCTAGGCAGAACTCGCCCGTATAACCGTGGTGGCAGCTGCACTTCCCGTTTCCCCCACGGGACCCGTCTCCATTGCACGCACCGTTCCCGTGACAGGGTCGCTCAGAACCCCCCACACAGGCTTAAAAACGAAGACAGACAAATTATTTTTGTGCTTTTAAACCAAATTTTACAACTCGCTCTTAGGATCTCTTTTTCTGTGCACAGTAGCTTCTGTAAGCTTCTTTGGTAGATTTTTTTTTTTTTTTTTAAACACTCAATGCCATTGTTTTTTCTATACATAGTAATATAGAGACCACTGATGTTTGAACACTATGGTTCAGTAATGGTAATGTTTATTTCAAAAACTCTCACTAAATATAAAAGCATCTTTCTTTAAAGGTCCTGTGGCACAACCAAGAGAAGATCGGTAATGTGTGAAATCATAAATTTGTATTACATCCTTTTTCCTCATGTGTTGCACTTCTGTAGGTGGTTGCCAAGTAGTCGTTGTCCATGTTAATTTGGTTTGAAAGGAGGCTCAAAAACGGCTGATAAGTTGCAAATATGGCCCCCCACTCTATACTGTCCCTGACACCTCATCTTACATCTTAGTGAGCCTCATTTTAAAGTGATGTCTGTATAATAAGATGTGTGCCACAGATGCATCGTAAACTGTTTTGTTAAACTGCCTTTAAGATGTCAGGTGTAACATTGCTGATGACATAGCTCATGTTTAGGGCCACTTACACACACACCGACATTTATTTCTGAGTGACAGTTGGGAGAACAGAGGAGGCGCAAATTAGAAATGGACTGTTTGCAAGTAGATGTTTTATAGATCTGACGACTTGGGACAGCATTGGAAAAATGCAAAACTTGTATGACACAAGCGACCTGTTTTCATAATAACATTGGAAGCCCTGAAATTAAGATGAAACGGGGTGGGGTGGGGGGGGAACTGGAGCACTGGTGGATGTATCTGTAAATTCTCACCATTGCAGTCGGGTCCAAATGTTCCCTTTGGACAGCACACTTTGATGGTCTCTATGCAGAACCACTTGTGCAGATCGGGATGTTTTGTTTTCCTGTGTTGCAACAGGTAAACAAGGCAGGAAGAGACGAGGTTTAACAGCAGGTTACCAAATCAAACAAGCCTTTAAAAACGCAAACAACCCTGATCAGCATCTGCCAGCCTGCCTGACCATGTGTCCTTCACTCATTAGGTCCCCTTTAAAATCCCACCACGTCATTTGCATCGACCCACCTCTTGAACCACCAAGTCTCGAAATGCTCCTCGTGCTCCTCAACCATGTGGTTGCACTCAAAGCTGCTGCTGTCGCACAGCCCCTCCACGATCTCCATCAGCCGAATCTCGCTGGGGTGGAAGGAAAGCAGCAGACGAGACAAGTGCACAAGTTAGTTTGAGATTGTAAACATACATCTCAAAATGTACAAGAAGATTTATATTTGCATGAAAATAAACGAAAACAACTTCATTTGATGGAAAGCACAGAAGCTCAAAAGCCTGCAGGTCTGGCGAAAAGTAAACAGCTCAGATCACAGGACCTGTGGCAGGGTGACCTGTAGGCTGGGCTCTTGGCTGTCTCACCTCGTCTCATATTTAGACAATTTCCTCTCCTCCCAGGCTGTGTTTCCTCCTCCAAAGTTCTGGTTTGCTGTTCTCTCGAAGCCCTGACATACAACGCAGACATTTTAATTTTTGAGCCCAGAAATAGGAAGGACCCTGCACTGAGTAAAGGGCACCCAGGCATCTTACATTAGACTGACGTATGTTCACGTCAACACAATGAAAAACAAC